ATATTAAATTCGGGGTCTTGTCATACAGTATACAGCATTAGGCGACCCATTCCTTTATCCCCTTAATAGACATAGGCCTACAGTTCAAGTATGTCAGTTGGTATTGTTATTGCATAATACATAGGTCATTGCATTTTATTTTAAATTAATAAAATCTGATACGCATACGGCAGTCATTCTCCGCCTTAATTTGTTGCTGTGAATTTGTGTCATATAGGCCTACTGTTAGTGTAGGTTTCTATCTCTGTTGGTTGATGATTGAATAAAATATACAAAATATATATAGATATATTTGTCAGACTGACCATATGCAAAATTTAAACGTTAAACATTTTAAAATTAGTGATTAATTATTCAATTATTAGGATTACTTCTCTTTCTTGTGATGTCTTTGAACTTGATATATTGTTTATGTCAGGGTCGGTTTTGCCACGATGACTGCAATCGATGGCATTGTACTTTGATGTTTCTAGTTGCACTGAATTGTTTAGAGTCAGGTCCACTGACTGATGCCCTTCTGCTCCTTCTTGTTTACTTGGTATATTGGTTTGTGTCGGTCCCATTGACTGATGTCCGTCTGCTCCTTGCTGGCCACTTGGTATATTGGTTTGTGTCGGTCCCATTGACTGATGTCCGTCTGCTCCTTGCTGGCCACTTGGTATGTTGGCTTGTGTTAGTCCCATTGACTGATGTCCGTCTGCTCCTTTCTGGCCACTTGGTATATTGGTTTGTGTCGGTCCCATTGACTGATGTCCGTCTGCTCCTTGCTGGCCACTTGGTATATTGGTTTGTGTCGGTCCCATTGACTGATGTCCGTCTGCTCCTTGCTGGCCACTTGGTATATTGGTTTGTGTCGGTCCCATTGACTGATGTATGTCTGCTCCTTGCTGTTTTGGTATATTGGCTTGTGTCCGTTTCATTGACTGATGTCCGTCTGCTCCTTGCTGGCCACTTGGTATATTGGTTTGTGTTGTCATGTCCTTTGACAGATACTCGTCTGTTCCTGGCTGTCCACTTAGTATATTGGTTTTTGTCGGGTCCTTTGAACGCCGGTTATCATCTGCCCTTAACTCTCCACTATTTTCACCTCTATATTCACTTACTTTATAATTGAGGGCAATGATCTATTTAGAAAATATTTTAAAAATATATTTTAATATTACTATACTGCTGAAAATATTAAAGATATCGATGTACATGGTAATAATTATGGCTGCTAAATAATTAGAGGGTTAAAATCCCAAACTTCAGTACCATTTTCTTTTGTAAATAAAATGTGGTATTTGTTCTCCTCCAATAAATTAACTTACCTTTTGTTTAAAATGTTGATAATACGCATCAGCAATTTCTTGCATCATTGCTAATGCTCCATGTTCAATAAGAATATCTGCACATTCAACACAAGCATCGCTGTATGTAATCATGGTATCGATGGTGTCTGTAAGGATCGACCACAATACTTCATCGGTGTACACCTCCTTGACTGGTTTCCACACATCAGAAATAATACGGACAAGTAGACCTAATAACAGTAAATGAGCTAGTTTGATAGGTATAAAAATTATGGATAGGTCAAGACCTACTGTTTTTACTACGTAGGTTTGCACCAAAACCTCATTTATATCTACAAGATTTCGACAAAATGATAGTCTTAGCCAACACATCATTGGAATAAGCTCTGGTGAGCCTAGGTTGTGTAATCCTACCTATAAACATGATCATTATACAGTACCTGGCCATTCGTGCATTGCCATGTGTTTGAGGAGGGTATGTCTACCACTCGTTTTGTCTGAAACGATACGTTTGACTGCGCTGATGATTTCCATAACGTCATTAGTACCAAAACTGTCACATTCCGACAAAATGCACTGAAGATTATCCAACATTTGCATATTATTAGCAGATTTTTTTGCGTCATCATCATTATGTTGTTCACCTGAAATTTGGTATAGAATAAAGTCTCGATAAATTTGTTATGTTAACTGTTAGTCATTTTCTAACATTAATAATATTAATTAGTCCTGTTATAATCAATAAAAGAAATTGACATGGAATACCACACACTAAACCTTATAAAAAGAGTCAGTTATAAATTATCAGGGGTCCCGATGATCAGTTTCACATAATATGAAGACGTATTGCATACTTATTAAAAATCGGCTACAGTAATGTATTTTTATACCTCCATGGTCGAATAAAATCATTGTGCTGGTAAATCTATACTGAGGTTAGACCATTCACAGCTATCGAAGGTGTGTAAAAGAAGCTAAGTAAGTCTCAGTAAAATTCTATTACATGTATGCCTAGCACCATATATTCTTAAGGAAAACTTCATGCCTATATTATAATATATGAAACTCCAAGCGCACACACAAATGACACATTGAAAACAATATCCTAGCTATTATAGCCTACTACAATAGAAGGAAGCTCCTTCTGACAAAGTCAGATAGTGAATTATACTTTTAATTTGTAGGCCTATTTCTTTTTCTTTTTGGCATTGTTCAGAATTAGTAGTGGATCCCACGTCACTGAATCCCCATCTGTCCAGAACATGTCTCACATAACATGTCAGGTTCTCGTTCATATTGCTCTCCAGTATTGTGTAAAACAAATGCAATGAGTTGTCTATTATCTGTAAAAATAGTAAAGTACCATAATTATTTGGTATGTGATGGTAAATTAAAAGATAACTGACGTTAATTTAGGTGACAAAATTATAAACACAAATGGTAAGGACAGCTTTAACGTCGAAATAAATTATGTCATGATATTGACTATCTGCCATTTTACCTGATGTTTATTAAAAGGATGAACAGCCAGGTTTGCCATTCCTTCCACCAATTCCACAACAGAAAACCCTGTCAAATTACCGGGTATTAGTGATTTACCTAAATAGC